GAAGCTCTTTTCTGTCTACCATGTGCTGGAAGCAGTGGCACTGGCTGACGGAGTTAAGACCATGAGGTTGCTTCAGGCATGTGAGAATGACATGCCACCGCTCTAGCACAAGTGCCTGACACACTTGCAACCTGATGTCATGTTTTCAGATGTTGATCAATCCGAAGCCCTAGCCATTTCACCATTCCAAAAAACGATCCATCAAGTAGGTATCCAACTCCGGGCCATAAAAAGGTGGGACCCCAGGTATTGGTGACACTGAGACGTAGCCTACCGCGAAGACTGTTATGAGCCATACAATCATGCTCTTTGCTGATCGCAATATGTCCCGCACACAGTCATGAGCAAAAGCTTGCTCTTGCTTGCTCTTTGGAATGAGGTCACCAGGGGAGGACAGTTGTGGTCATCATCCCTTTCCGGGACAGGGAGTCTCACCTGATCCTCAGACTCATTATGAGCACGCGTCAATCGGCAACATTACAACAAAATTAGGAGGTACAGTAGTGATAATCCAGAGGGTGAGGAGGATGAGTAGGATTGCATGTACAGTTCTGTATTTCCTGCTGAGAAGTGAGAAGCGTATCTTGCTTGCTTTAGCATCCGACCTTCAGGTGCGGGTTCGGTGGTTCAGGGTCTGAATGAGCTCTGCATACAAGTCCTGATCACTCTTGAACTCGATAAACATAACAGACACGTTTACTGCAGAATACTGCAGAGGAAGCTGTTCAAGCAGTACTGGCGCTGGTTCGCAGAGTCTGGCCGATCGCCCAAGACTGTGCAGAGACGCTTGGTTGCAGCAGGTGGCACCAACTCAGATTGCTTCCGTAAATTTACCAGTAGAGACTGGTGCACCAAAAAGCCCTTGGTTGTAATTGCTCCAGAGGAAGCCACAGCGGTGACTTGTAAAGGGATGGATCCACCAGTGTTGTGCGCACCGAAGATAGGAAGCTGTTGCTAGCACAGTAGCCACAGATCTGGGCTAACATGGATCTCCGTAGTCCCCATCGTTTCACGACAAAGCCCAGAATGGTTGGTCGTCATTGCCGAGCAGTTTGATGCTCCTCGCCGTACAGGAAGGTCGGTTATGGTTGCACCTGGCAAGAAGGGAAGGTCTTCAAGAGCGGAAGGCGAGGAAACTGAGCTGCTGGCTGGCCTCAACTTCAATTTCTCAGAGGGCAGCACTTAATTCACTTAATGTATTTCCGGGAGAGCCTGAGGTGTTCCACCATCTCGGATGCGTGCAGAGTTGAGGTGCAGACTTTCAATCGTGGCTGGAACTTCAACGCCGGCCTGGCGGTGGTCTCAGCTCAGACCACGGCCTCGCCGGACATCCGGCCCGACCCTTCGGCTTCCCATATACCCCCAAGTCTATAGTAGTTTCCATGTTCTTTTCCACTATCCCTCTACTTAAGAGCCTCCGGCTCAGTCCGCCGACCCAGAGGCGGACAAATCGCGAAAGCCTAAACCCTAAACCTTGAGGATTTTCAGCGGCTGGCACGAGACCAACAAGCGCAACAAGGTTAGTCCAAGCTAGG